TGTTAATGAGTTCCTCTCTCCTTCGCATGGCCTGTAAATTGAAACCTGATCTAGAAATTCAATCAGATTCAGATTTGATTTATTGTTTTGATTTTTCTGCAAGACCATTTCACAAGAGACGTTATATTTGATTCTTTTTTTTTTTTTTTTTTTTTTAATGGCAGCCAAGTTGTACTGGTTAGGTTGCCTTTGGCTGGAAATCCTAAGTCAAACTGGCTTAAGCCATAAGAAAAGCTGCATCTACCGTCTTGCCTGAGGGCCCCAGGGAGGTGACAGTTACTAGGCAGAAACGTCTCCATGGCTCCCGGTTGCTCCCTTCTAGACTACTGTCTCATCATCGGCCTCGCGGTGTCATGCCTACATTGGAGGGTTCTTATGGGCATCACAGTGATGGTCCCAGTCCTCCCTGAGGTGAGAGTGCGGGTGGCCAGTGACTTGCCCAAGGTCTCTCGTTGAGCGCCAGAGCCAGTGCCGTCACTCACCTCTCTACCTGCTCTTTCCCTGTCTTGGCACGACTGACCTTTAATGGAGCCCTGGTAGGGGAGGGAGAAGGAAAGTACTGTCTGTTCTTCCCTGCAGGCTGCAGACCTTGAGGGAGCCACAATAAACGCTGTGTTTATTTGCTATAGCACTTGGCTTTTGGTCTCCGCAGGAGGAAGAGCTAGAACAGGTGTGGCAAGACCAGGAGGCCCGAGGCACCTCAGTGGAAGGTGGGGTGGGACAGAGCCCCAGGGCCTGGCCGTGTGCTTCAGGTCTGGGGATTGTAAAGAAATCCAGGAACTTTCTCACGACCCAGCCATTTTCCTCGTGTTTCCAGGTACCTGCCTGGCTAAATACACCTAAATACTAACAATATGTACTGACCTCAATTAAGGTCTGCACCTCAATCAAGGCCTAACTTTGCTTTCATGCCACCATTGCTTCCAGTTCTCCCTGACCTTGGAAGGCGACGTTCTGGTGGGGAAATCTGAGAAGAAACCAAAAGACAAGATAGATGTGTGATGGGGTGAGGTAGGCTGCACGGGAACCCGTGAGATGACTTAGCTAGTCCACAAGACAGCCCAGTATTATCGTACCCATTTTGTGGATGAGAAAATCGAGGCTCAGAGGAGTGCACTGCTCTGCTTCCTGGTCATTTTGGTTCTGACTAATTTTCTTCTGCAGGGGGTGAAAAGGATAAAAATGAGGATGAAAAGACGAGTTAGAGAGGCCCTCACAAATAATCTGGTTCCTCCCTTATTGAAATAACGGGGAAACTGAGAGCCAGAAGGGGAAGAGAATTGCTCAGTCACAGAGGAGAAGGAGTGGATCTAGAAAGCAGCTAACCTCCAGGCCAGGGTGTTCCTTGACACCAATGCCTTTCTCTTCTCCAGCCATCTGGAGATTTCCTGGGGCCCCTCATGTGGGATCCTCCTCAGCTTGTGCTGAAAATTCCACCAACTCTGGTTAGAGTCTAAACTCCAGAAGGGATCAGAAGAGAATGCATTAGGACAGACCCTTAAGCCAGGCAAGGCTGTGTGCCTGTTGGGGTGATGGAATATAGATCAGGATACCTGACCGCCCTCTAGGAGGCTTCAGGGTGAGACCTGGGAGCCAGGGAGAGTCTGAGTCTCTAAGCCCTTCCCAAACCACCCTGCGACACCCCACCCTGTCCCACCCCACCCAAGGATCCAGTCTGCACCACATCTCTCTGGCTTGGAGGAGCTGGGAGTGGGCTGGCTGGCTCTGGGCCGCAGGCTGCAGCTCTGACCAGTGTCTGACCAGGTTGCTCTCTTGAGGGTAGTGGAAAGTGAATAACCTTGCTCCTGCCTGCAGGACTCTCTGAGACAAAGAAGCCACCAGGTACGCCTCAGGGCTGGCTGGCTTGGCCTAACCTGCACCTTAGCCAGAGCCTGTGGGGATCAAGTGAGATGCAAAGGCTTGGCTCTCTGCCCACCCCTCAAACCCCATCCCAGACAGGCCCAGAGAACATTTCTCTTCCCGGTTCCCTCTCCCTCACCTATTGCTAAGCCTCCTCCCTCTCTGACCCTTCCCCTCACTGAGACCCGTCCCCTTCACTGACCCCCTTTGCTGAGTCCCCACCATTTCTTTTATTTTTCCAAAATATATTTTTATTGATTTCAGAGAGGAAGGGAGAGTGAGAGAGATATAAATATCAATGATGAGAGAGAATCATTGATCCCCTACCTCCTGCATGCCCCCCAATGGGGATCCAGCTCACATCCCGGGCATGTGCCCTTAATTGGAGTTGAACCTGGGACCTTTCAGGTCTGCAGACCAATGCTCTATCCATTGAGCCAAACCTGCTGGAGCCCCACTATTTCATGGGGCCCTTTCCCTCCTCTGTGCCACCTTCCCCTCACTGAGGTTCCCCACTGAGCCCTTCTGCCTTTTGTGAGCCCACATCCCTTCTCCAGCTCTCCCTAGGACCCATCTCCATCAACTGTCCCCCTCACCTTCATATCCAGTCACTCCCCCTGTGACTAGAAGAGTGGTTCCCCCGGGGAGCTGGGTGGAGAGAGTAATGACATTCCAAGTCCCTTCCTGAACCTCACAGAGGGTGACCTGCAGCTAGGGTCTTCTTACTATTCATAGGAACCTACTTCCTCTTCCTCGGCTCATATAAGGTAACTTGTTAGTGTTCCTTCACCAAAGAAGTTTTGGGGAGCTAAGTGGAATATTTTATTGAAAAACTTGACTGCCACTGAGACCTTTTGTTTAATTTTGCTTCAGGCAAAGAAGTTTGAGATACAGTTAGCTGAAATAATGTCAAGTTTCCTCAATTTTAAATACCTGTCCTGTTACCCTCACTCCCCCTCAAGTTGCTAATTTGGCCTTGATTACCTTTATAAGCAAACTTCTTGGATGCAGGGTCTACATATTCTGTTTTTTTGTTTTGTTTTGTTTTGTTTTTTTTAAAGATTTAAAAAAATATATATTTTATTGATTTTGTACAGAGAGATAGAGAGCTAGAAACATCGATGAGAGTCATCGACCAGCTGCCTCTTGCACACCCCCTACTGGGGGTATGCCCGCAACCAAGGTACATGCCCTTGACCAGAATCGAACCCGGGACCTTTCAGTCCCCAAGCTGACGCTCTATCCATTGAGCCAAACCGGTCTCGGCTACATATTCTGTTTTTGCTTCCCTTCTCCCACTCACTTTTCTGTCCTCTACGTCTGCCCCGCCCCCACACCTCTTGCTAAGGCCACCAGTGACCACTTTGCTGTGTTTTTTTTTTTAATTTAAATTTTTGTTTTTATTGATTTCAGAGAGGAAGGGAGAAGGAGAGAGAAATATCAATGATGAGAAAGAATCATTGATTGGCTGCCATCTGCATGCCCCCTATTGGAGATCAAGACCAGGCATGTGTTCTGTCCGAGAATTGAACGGTGACCTCCTGGTTCACAGGTTGATGCTCAACCACTGAGCCACACTGCTGCTTTTAATCTAAGGTGACCAGACGCCCCGCTTTTGGTGGGACAGTCCCAATTTTTAACAATTTGTCCCGGTTCCCGCGGCATTTTAAAAAAGTGCCAGGATGTGGGACAGATTATTAAAAATCGGGACTGTCCCACCAAAAGCAGGACGTCCGGTCACCTTATTTTAATCTCACAGCTACGCCTCAGGTCTCTCTGACCACTTCTGCAGCCTTGGACACCGTGGCCAATGCCTGCCTTCTCGAAACCCTTCCTCCCTTTGGTTTCTAGACTGACCTCATCCACTCCCCGGTTTCGGTTCCCTTCAGCATGCTAACAATAGCCAAGTTTACCACTCCTGAGTTCCAGAGCCCTATATATGCCCAGCCATTTCCTGGACATCTCGCCCGACGGTCCTACAGGCTTGTCAGTCTCTGTACACTCAAAGCTGAACGCCATCATCTTCCCCCAGGAACCTGGGCTCCTATTTTGGTAAATGGCTTCACAATGCAATCAGTGACCTAGGGTGGAAAATCGGGGCTCTCCCAGTCCTTCTCTCTTTCCCACCCAGCGTATCCAAATGGTTCTCTGGCCCTGCGAACAGCCCCATCAGGCCCTGCTCCCAGTCCCGCTGTCCCTGCTTTCCTTCTGGTTTGTATCATCTCATACTGGGAGGACTACATAGCCTCTTAGAAGGTCTTCCACCTTCACCGGCCTCCCTGAACCCCAGCTCTGCAGGGCTGCTGGAGAGGCTGTGTTAGAGAGCATACCTCTGACAAGGCGCGTCCTTCCATGGCTCCCATAACACCAGAGTAAGGTCCAAAGTCTGTCATTCCTCCCAGGAGACTCTCCATGCCTTTGTCTTTTCTGAACCCCTGGGCCTCATCACCACTTCCTCTCTCACCTTGCTATCTGTCCTGCCATGCAGAATTTCTCTTGCCTGGCCCTGGGCACAGGCCCCCTTTCCCAGGGCCTGGCCCTCCTGCACCTTCTCCAAGATGCCAGGGCTTCTAAGAACCCTCCCCCCTCAATATCCACCTTCCCCCCAGAAGAACACGAGGCCCCTCTCTCATCTTTCCCACCAGGTGAGAAGGTTCCGCCCAGCATTACTTTCACCAAGCAAAAAACAAACAAACACAATAGGTCTTTGTGTTCTCCTTTTCCAAATATGAAATCATAGCATTGAATGTGCTCTTTCATGTAGCACAGGGGCAACGACCGGGGGGTGCAGGCAGCCGCTGTGGAAAACACGCTCCTCGGAGCACAAACCCAAACGTCAGCCTGGAGAAGAGGGGTCCCTGACACCCTGCCCCCACCCTCTTGGCTCTCTCCACCAAAACGCGCCGGAGTGCCCACACCTGCCTCTCACCCGTCTGAACCCCCAGGGAGGAGGCCAGATGACCGCTAGCACCCAGTTCAGTTTGCAGCCTCCCGGTTACTGGACCTCTCTGTTCCTCTCTGAGCTTCATCCCTAGCAGAATCCAGCCCAGGCCAAGTCTTTTTTTTGGGGGGGGGGGGGGGGGGGGGGGGGGCCTGAGCCCTGAGCACGCAACTCAGGGCAAGGAGGCGGCGCAGGCAACTGCAAAACGAAAGGCTTTTATTGAAGAAGAATATCAAGTGGCCCCTTCCAGGGCCGCCGGGGCCTGCCCCACAAGGGCTTTGGGGCAGCGTGGCCACCCTACCCCGCGCTCCAGAGGGGGAGGTTTCATTGTCTATGCGGGCTGCTCCCCTGGTTTCGCGGTCCCACCGCTGCCTGCCCGCGGAGGAGGAGTGGCAGCTGGGGAAAGGGGCGACGGGCTGGCCCCTGCCAGTCCAGGGAGAGGGCTGCCGGACGTCTGAGCTGGGCCGGTTTCCGATGCCAGGCTGGCGGCTGGACGGGTGGGCGCTCCTGCACGCGTCGGCGGTGGCCCCTCAGACGTAGTCCTTGCGGTCGTAGGCGGTGCCCGTGCCCGTGCCCGTGCCCGGCCCTGCGGCGGACCGCGGCGCCGAGTAGAGGATCTTGGCGGGCACGTACTTCTTCTCCTGCGGGGGGCACGAGCAGCAGAGCAGCGCGCCGCCCAGCAGCTGCATGGCCGCCGCCGCCCAGCCCACGTACAGGCCCGAGCCGATCTCGCGCTTCTGCGACTCGGGCACGAGCGGGTTGTAGAAGTCCTGCACGATGGTATTGGCCGACCAGGACACCGGCACCAGGGTGAGCAGCGCGGCCAGCAGGAACAGCACGCCCGCCACGATGGTGATCTTGGCCTTGGCCGTGTCGTCCTGCACGCAGTTGGTGCACTGCGCGCCCACGAGCGCCACGAGGAGCCCGAAGGCGCCCAGCAGGATGGCCACCACGATGAGCGCGCGGGCTGCCTGCAGGTCCTGCGGCAGCGCCAGCAGCGAGTCGTACACCTTGCACTGCATCTGGCCGGTGCTCTGCACCACGCAGTTCATCCACAGGCCCTCCCAGGTGATCTGCGCGGTGATGATGCTGCTGCCGATGAAGGCCGTGACCCGCCACATGGGCAGCGCGCAGCACACGATGGTGCCTAGCCAGCCCAGCACGGCCAGCGCCGTGCCCGTGATCTCCAGGCCCATGGACATGGCTGCCGCTCCCAAGCCGGCTCTGCCGGGCGGCTCCGCGATCGGGGACGGACGGCGAGGGGGCGCGGCCGCGGGGCCGCCTGGGCAAGAACTGGGAAGACGCCCCCCCGACGGACGGACCGACGGGCCGACGAGCCGAAGAACCGCGCGCGCGCTAACGGCCCCGCTCTGCCCGCTGCGCCGCGGCTGCGCCCGCACCTGCCTGCGGCTTTGTGGGCGGCGGCGGCGGCGACTGAACCGGCCCGGAGTCGGGGCCGATTGGTCCTCGGTCCTGCTCGGGGCGCGAGCGGGGGCGGGCGGGGCGGGGCCGCGTCCTCCGGGACCTGGGCACAGTGACGTGGCCCCTCTGCCCACCTGCGCCGCGGGCCGGGGAGGAGGGACTCGGCCGGATCGCAGGTGGGGGGGGGGGGGGGGCCACGGCGGGCGGGGCCTGAGCCTGAGCCCGAGCCCCGCCCCCTCGCCGAGTCCCGGGTGCCAGGTAACCATTCCCCCGCAGGTGGGGGGAGGTTGCACACGACAGGCTGTCTGACCGGTCCCCAGACTCCGCAGTTGGCACGGCCGCCCGCGTGGTGACGGGGTCGCTGCCAGGAGCCCGGGGTCCCCGTGGCCTGGGAGGGCGGCGTGGCCGTGGCCGTGGTGTTCGCGGGCGTGAGCGGCGCACCTGCTCCCCCGTCCCCCCGGGCCTTCTCCGAGCAGCGCTCGCCACGCCGGGGACCCGCCTGATTCAAGCCCCTGGGGTTGCCAGCCCTAGAGATCTGGACTTGGTAGCCAGAGATCGCCCTCAAAAGCACTCAGAAGACGCCCCAGAGCCGGTGCTGAACTAAAACTCCCACCCCCAGCCTAATCCTCAACTCTAATCCCTCGCAGTGACTCCGGATCCCTTTAGCGGAGCTGCTCCCCTCACCTCGCGCCCTGTCGTCCCTCCCTCCGGGCTCCAAGTCAGTGCTGAGATTCACCCTAATGAAATGGTGGTGAAAGATTGGATCCCGGCAAAAGTGGGAAGTCAGAGGCTTTACCTGCAACCCCTTGCTCCCACACCCGGGCTATCCCTCCCCTTCACCCAATCCCTCTCCTCCCCTCCTCCAGCGCCGGGATCTCCGGGCTCTTCCTTCAGCAAGCTGCACACTCTCACTTCCGGCCCCATGGGCATTCAACAATGGGGCACGTGCAGATATTTACAAGGCTCATTCCTACCTTTTCAGCTTTTTGTTCCCAGCAAGGCCTTCCTTCCCTGACCACACTATTTAAAATTACAACTGCTCACTCCACAGTGTTCTGTCCTTTTTACATACTTTATATTCTCTTTTGATTTTAACACCACCTGCCATACTCCTTATTCCTCTTAGTTATTATTATTTTTTTAATCACTCCTTTTTAAATTTATTTTTATTATTTTATTGATTTTTTACAGAGAGGAAGGGAGAGAGATAGAGAGCCAGAAACGTCGGTGAGAGAGAAACATCGACCAGCTGCCTCCTGCACACCCCCTACTGGGGATGTGCCGGCAACCGAGGTACATGCCCCCAACCGGAATCGAACCTGGGACCTTTCAGTCCGCAGACCGACGCTCTACCACTGAGCCAAACCGGTTTTGGCCTCTTAGTTATTTTTTATTCTCTCTCTGCTCCAGGTTGTCAGCTCCATTCGGACAGCCAGAATGTCCCCAGACGGGCAAGGATTTCCGCTGGTTCCATTCACTGCAGTATCTCTAGTGACTAAAACGTTGGTTTCATGAAACTTGGTTTCATGACTTGAATGAGGGAAGGACATCCCTTTCTTGTGCTCTTGCAGCCTTGCCTGCCTAGGCCCTCCTACTGGCATAAATGACTGATAACAGGACACTACTGTGTTTCCTGAACCAGAGGGCTTTGTAATCTGGCAGAAACCAAGCACACGTCCAAGCTAGATAAGAAACCTCATTGCGCCTGGCCAGTTTTCTAAGTGGTTAGGGCGTTGATCTCTCATTGAAGGATCTTAGGTTCAATGACCAGTCAAGGACACTTAACTGGGTTGCAGGTTCAACCCCATTGGGGTGTGTGCAAAAGGCAACCAATAGACATGTCAATCTCACGTGGATGTTTCTCTCTCTTTCTTTGTCTCTCTCCTATCCTCCCTCCCTTCTACTTTCTCTCTTTAAAAAAAAAAATATTTTTATTGATTTCATAGAGGAAAGGAGGAGAGATAGAAACATCAATGATGAGAATCACTGATCCACTGCCTCCTGCACACCCCCTACTGGGGATTGAGCCCACAACCCAGGCATGTGCCCTTGACAGGTATTGAACCTGGGACCCTTCCATCTGCAGGCCAACGCTCTAGCTACTGAGCCAAACTGGCTAGGGCCCTTCTACTTTCTCTAAAAATCAATGGAAAAAATACCCTCAGGTGAAGATTAACAACAACAACAAAAGAAACCTCATTGAGTGGGGGATTTTCTGGTTTCCTCCATATCTCTCAAATCACAGGCATGTAGCTTGTATCCTTTTCTATAAGTGCCAAAGCCCTAGGCCTGTGGTCGGCAAACCGCGGCTCGCAAGCCACATGCGGCTCTTCGGCCCCTTAAGTATTCTAACGCCACTTCTTCAAAATAGACTCGCTCAGGCCCAAAACCGACTTCTGCACATGGGCCACGAAGTTTCAATCACACTGTATGTGGCCTGCATGTGGTATTTTGAGGAAGAGCCACACTCAAGGGGCCAAAGAGCCGCATGTGGCTCTTGAGCCTCGGTTTGCTGACCACTGCCCTAGGATGATATAAGAATAAGGTAGCGATGGCCAGTTTTGCTCAGTGGGTAGGGAATCAGCCTGAGGACTGAAGGGTCCCAGGTTCGATTCTGGTCAAGGGCATGTACCTGGGTTGCAAGCTCGATCCCTGGTCCTGGTCCATTCCTGCAGGGGGCAACCAATTTGATGTGCCTCTCTCACATCTGTTTCTCTGTCTCTCCCTTTCCCTCCCACTCTCTCTTATAAATCAATGGGAAAATATCCTTGGTGAGGATTAACCAAGAACAAAAAACAACAACGAAACGATTTCTTTCTTTTTTTTTTTTTTTAAATATATTTTATTGACTTTTCACAGAGAGGAAGAGAGAGGGATAGAGAGTTAGAAACATCAATGAGAGAGAATCATCGACCAGTTGCCTCCTGCACACCCTCCACTGAGGATGTGCCCGCAACCAAGGTACATGCCCTTGCCCGGAATCGAACCCGGGACCCCTCAGTCCGCAGGCCAACGCTCTATCCACTGAGCCAAACCAGTCCCGGCCGAAACGATTTCTTTAAAAAAAAAAAAAAAGATAAGGTAAACAGGGCCAGATGCCCAGGAAACTAGGGTCCTACTTCTTACAGGGGCAAAGGTCTTGGGTGGGGCCTATTGGGTTGGGCTGGGCAAGGCCGGGAGTGCCCAGCCGGTGCGGTGCGGGTGGGGGAAGTTCATAGGGGCTAGGTCCGTTTCAGCAGACTGCGGGCTGTTAGTTTCCTGGTGAGTGGGGGTGGCTTTGACCCAGAAGGGAGGCAGAACCCCCAGGCAGTGTGAATGGGCTTAGTGGAGGGCTGAGGTGGGTTCCCCGGTGGTTGTGTCTGGGTAAGTGCTGTGAGCTCCGTCTCTTGCTGGCTCTGAGGCTGGGGAAAAGTCATGTCATCTCTCTTAGGCTCAGTTTCCTTTGTAAAATGAAGAAAATGATGTTTATGTGACCCATCTCACGAGGTTGTAATGAGGATAGAGGTGATATAAGTGCATAATTAACCAGAAAACAACCAGGTCAGGGAACTTGTGTGGAGAAAGTGTGGGGTTTAGCTGGGCAGTCCTGAGTTTGCCCTGTCTCTACTTCCACCAGTCATGTGACCTTGAGAAAGTCCTTTTCCACCTTTAGTCTCAGTTTCCTCTTGTGTGCAGAGGAGTATGTTCTGATTGCTCAGGTTAGGGCCGGGAGTGAGGGGGGTGGGCAGGCAGAAAGAGGTGCGTTGTTCCTGAGCCCCAGCTAGGTGGGTCTGCTGGGCAGGGCTGTGAGGAGATGAGGGCAGAAAGCTTCATGACCCCGGGGCCAAACTTCAGGGGCTCTGCAAAGAAGACTTTGGCTCTGGGCAAAGCAGTTCCAATTCGTTTGTGTGTGTGTGTGTGTGTGTGTGTTCTTGCAACCTTGGCTTAATACAATATATACCATGGCTCTTACAAACCAATACTAAAAAGACAAATAACCCAATTAGAAAATTGTCAGAGAATCTAAATAGACGTTGAGAATAGACAAAGATGATATACAAATGGCCAAGAGCACACGAGAAGATGTCTGACATCATTAGTCATTAGAGAAATGCAAAGCGAAACCACAGAGACCTAGCTTCTCCCTCATGTGCGTGACGATGGGAAGGGCAGTTCTGCAGCCGGGTTGAGGTCGGGCAGGAGTTGGTGGAGAAGGATTTAGCTGGTGGAGCTGACAAGGCGTATTTGGGCAGAATGTTGCGCGCGCGCGTGCGTGCGTGTGTGCGTGCGTGTGTGTGTGTGTGTGTGTGTGTGTGTGATTCCAAGGAGCAAAGGGCTAAGAAGAGAGGAGTTGAAAGAAGAGTAGCCACAGCTAAGAAACTGGTCCATTACCTATCTCCTGCCAAGTGTCCAATCCCCAAGAAGTAGACATCAGGTTTTTGTGCAAACATGTATTTCTTTTTCTTTCTTTTTAATATTTTTATTGATTTCAGAGAGGAAGAAAGAAGGAGAGAGAGATAGAAACATCATTGATGAGAGAGAGAACCATTGATTGGCTGCCTCCTGCATTCCCTACCTTCACTGGGGATCGAGCCCACAACCAGGGCATGTGCCCTTGACTGGAATCAAAACCAATCAAACCTCCAGTCCACAGGCTGATGCTCTATCCACTGAGCCAAACCTTTTAGGGCGAACATGTATTTATTTCTATGGACTAAATGTCTAGGAATGCACAGATAACAATTTAATAATAATAATAATAAATATCTAGGAATGCAAATTCTGGTTGCTGCATGCTTAGCTTTTAAAGAAACTACTATCCTTGTTCTCCAGAGTTGCTCCCAGCAAAACCTTCCTGTTGTCCATACCCACCAGCGACCTCGGTTCTGTGTGTCCTCGCCCGCATTGGGTATAGTTGACTTCCAGCACCTGCTAGGTGTGCAGTAGTATCTCATTGTGGTTTTAATTTGCAGTTCCTCTGTGACTAATGCTGTTAAACATCGTTGCCTGTGCTTGTTTGCTTATTTGAAGAAGATATCTGTATATCTTCT